TGTGGCTCAGGTGTCTGAGGGATTGAAGTTTTCATTTTATTGCACTTGCGTTAAATTCAATTTCAATAATCGCCCGTGGCCAGTGATGGTAGTTATCTGATAGCGTAGCGACCAGTGACATATGGGCATCCCAGGAGATGGTGGTGAGACTGAGAGGTCAGAGGTCAAGGAGGCATGATGAAGTCAGAGGTCAGTAAGAGGTCAAGAGTCCAAAGATCAAGAGCAGAAAGACTAGGGTATAAGCTTCCTGATAATAGAAATCAGGTCTGACTTGCTCATTGCTGAATCTCCTTATACCCAGAGCAGTGCCTGGAACAAAACATAAGTGAGTCCTCTGAACAAAGAGAAGTAGAGATTGTTATTGTTACCATTTTATGGATAATCAAACCAGGATTTAGAGAGCCAAGTGTGTAAGTAACGGATCTAGAGTTTTAATTTCTAGTTTATATATAATTTATTTATCCTTAATCCTTATGCTACATGACTCAGGAGGATGCCACTGTCTGGGGTGTCTCCTTGTACTGCTATGTTCCTCTGCACTGCAGAGTTCCCTTCTATGGTCCTAGCTGGTTTGGCTCAGTGGATAGAGCGTTGGACTAACGGGTCCCGGGTTCGATTCCAGTCAAGAGCAAGTACCTTGGTTACAGACTCCTCCCCAGCCTGGGACCTGGTCAGGGCTCGTGCAGGAGGCAACCCATTGATGTGTTTCTCTCATGTGTTTCCCTCTCTCTTCCACTCTCTCTAGAAATCAATGGAAAAATATCCTCAGGTGAGGATTAACAAACAAAAAAAAAATCAGAAAGACACAAAACTCCAGGGACTTTCCGACTTTGGCTCCCTACGGCCTTTACTTGCCATCCCAGTTCTGAAATCTGAACTCCAGTACCCAACCCAGTGACTTAATTTCTCATCATTAGGCCACTGCCCAAATATCTTCTCAGCCTTCCACATTACCTCCTCAGAGAAACCCCCTGGAACTCTCTCCCTCACCCCAGAGCCTGCTGCAGTTCTATTTTTTCTTAGTTAAAAAAATTAAAAATAAATAAATAGAGCATGGATAACCTGCTTTATTTCCCACATTTATTCTGTTCTTATTAATGCTTATTTGGTTGTTACATACTCATTGTCTGTTTCAATGGAAAAATATCCTCAGGTGAGGATTAACAAACAAAAAAAAATCAGAAAGACACAAACTCCAGGGACTTTCCGACTTTGGCTCCCTACGGCCTTTACTTGCCATCCCAATTCTGAAATCTGAACTCCAGTACCCAATCCACCGACTTAATTCCTTGTCATCAGCCCACTGCCCAAATATTACCTCCTCCAAGGCCTTCCTGACTTCTGTCTAAATAGAGCACATTAAAAAAATTAAAAATAAATAAATAGAGCATGGGTACCCTGCTTTATTTCCCACATTTATTCTTTTCTTATTAATGCTTATTTGGTTGTTACATGCTTATTGTCTGTCTCCTCCCCTCTCCAACTATATAAGCCCCATGAAGACAGGAATTATCTAATTTGTTCACTGCTGTGTCCCCAATTGAACCAGAGTAACAGGCACTTAATAGCTGCTCAGTAAACATTTGACTGACTAGCCCGTGGCCTTCTCTCAGCTCCTGAAACTCACCGCTTTCCTACCACAGGGCCTCAGCACATACTGTTTTCTCTGCCTAAAATATTCCCACCTTCCTTCTTCACCTGACAAAGTCCTTCTCAGCCTTCCACATTACCTCCTCAGAGAAACTCCCTGGAACTCTCTCCCTCACCACAGAGCCTGCTGCAGTTCTATTTTTTCTTAATATTTTTATTGATTACAGAGAGGGAGAGGGAGAGATAAAAATATCAATGATGAGAGAGAATCACTGATCACTGCCTCCTGCATGCCCCCTACTGGGGACTAAGCCTACAACCTAGGCATGTGCCCTGCCCGGGAACTGAACTGTGACCCTCTTGGTTCATAGATCCACGCTCAACCACTGGGCCACACCGGCCGGGCCCTGTTGCAGTTCTTCACACCACATCGCATATACTCTTCCATTGTGTGTTTATGCACATGATTTAATTAACATTCGTCTCCTCAAGTTGACTATCAGCTCCATAAAAAGAGGAACCCTCGCGACCAGTGCAGAACACCCCCTTTCCAGATCAGCCTCCTCCCCTTCGGCTCTGGGGACTGGTCCTGACCCTTCCTATGTCCCCATCCAGCAGCACCTCCCCGCGAACTCTTCTGTCCCAGCCTGGATCCCACAGCCTGTCACTTGACTCTCTTTGGCAACACTCTCAACACTCCCGCCTCACCGTCCTGAGGCCATATTGCCCGACCAACACCCAGCCTAGAACCATTGGCTCCTTTCTGGGCTGAAAACTACACTTCCCATGAGCCTCTGTGCCCATTTCTGCCTTTCTAGCTAGAAACATATCCTGTCACCCTCGTGGCTCTCTCATAGCTAAAAGAGACACTCCAATTTACCTCTGAAGCCATTTTCTTTCTTCTGATTCTGAGATGGACCCCTGTTCAGACCCAAGAACCACGTCTGTGGGATGAGAACCGGCCTTCCCATGAGCCTCTGGGGCTCCACGCAGCCCTCCCTGGAGTTTCTAGACCTACAACTGCCTTTCCCATGAGCCTCTGGGGCCCAGCCAATCTGACCAGAAGGCCATTATTCCCATGAACGTTTTTTTAAACTGTTTTAAAAATAACTTTAATTGATTTCAGAGAGGAAGTGAAAGAGATAGAATGATGAGAGAGAATCAATGATTGGCTGCCTCCTGCATGCCCCCACTGGGGATCTAGCATGGGCAGGCATGTGCCCTGACCGGGAATCAAACCGTGACCTCCTGGGTCATAGGTTGATGCTCAACCACTGAACCACGCCGGCCGGGCCCCAGGGACATCTTCCAGGCCTCTCACACTCATCAAGTCTCATGCTGAGCTCATTTTCCCCAAACCCAATCCTCCCAAGGTTGCACATCTGTGGACAGTCCCACCAACCCTGGTCACCAGCTGGAGCCCAGGCGCTGTCCCTGCCCCCTCCCTCCTTCTCAGCCAGTCAGGCCCCAGCGCCACCCCTCCTCCTCCTGACTCTCCTGCCCCACCCCCTCCTCACTATCCCATCACAGACCTAGTCTTCCTCTCAGACCATCACCTCCCCCTCCTGCCTGGGACTCAAATCCGGACAGCCCGGCTCCAGAATGGATGTGCACAAGGGAGCTGGGGGGGGGGGAGGCCTGTGGGAGAGAGTGGAGGAGGGGGACAGGTGCTGATGCAGGACAAAAAGTACTCACTCTGGAACATTCCAGGGGGTCCCAGAGCCCCCTGACCAAAACTGGAAAAGCTCAGAGGCCTGGAGATGAAACAAAGGGGGACAGCTAGTTAGTCCCCGGTTGAAACCACCCCCCCCCCACCCTCCAGCCTTGCACCCACAGTCCCCAACCCAGGCCACCTGAGGACCAGCGGGACCCAGTTTGGCCTGCAGGGAAGGTGCTGAGATGAGCTGGGCCGAGGACATGGTGGCCATCGTCTGGAAAGCCTTATCCTTGGAAACCTGGTCCACATTCAGGGCGTCTGGAAAGCCTTATCCTTGGAAACCTGGTCCTGGAGGAAGCGTTGAGGGTCCATGTTAACGGGGGTTCCAGTGGACACAGCAAGGGTGGGGACAGTGACGGGGTGGGCAGGGTAAGCACGGGGGGGGCTCAGAGATGGGAGGTCATGGTAAAGGGCTGGGGAGGGTCCAAATCCCTCTCACTACAGCCCCTTATCCCTCAATAATGTCTGGGGTAAGGGAGTGGGTGGGAGGATGTGCAGAGGGACTTACCACATTCAGGGCCTGCCCATGGGGGAGGGAGCCAAAGAAGGAAAGAAAACAGGATTTAGGAAGTGAGGCCTGGGAACCCCACCTTGCCTCCCTGACAACCCCTGTGGCCCACCACCCTGAGCAGAGCATGAGAGGAAAGTGAAATGAAGGGTGACTATGGAACAGGGGTAGGGAGCGGGGTGGGCAGGCCTAGAGGGGAAAAGAAGTTCCCAATGTCCAGAATAAAAGACACATACTAGT